GCTGGGATTCTCATCGCCGAGGAAGGGCCGACGAGGGAACGTGACGCTAGAAGCTGAACCGCAGGTGATGAAGTACTTTTCAGGTAAACCATCGTCCGAGGCCAAAGTGAAAATAGAAGAAAAGTGAAAGAGAAACGAAAGAAAAAGAAAGATAGAAATCTTGTGGAACAGAAATTTTTCCATAGTTAATCTCACTGATGGAGAATCAGTGTTAACTGATATGATATTATTGGTGTGCAGTGATGAATAAATGAGTTATTGAATGATAATTAGACAGTGCAAGTAAGAAGGGGGATGGGTGTGGGACGAAGTTGACTTGACGTTCACTTGTAGTTGCTTGTTTTTAATAGCAGAAAACTCTCGTAGAAACGTTCTAATATGTGATTTACCTCCTATCTATTGAAAATCGCAGAAAACCCTTATATTTGAAACTTTTTGTGCAAAAAACCTTCTGCCGTCATATCCGTCAGATTTTCCGTTAAAAATAGTAAACAAATGTCAAAATTACAAAGAAATAATTGCAATTTCAATACCAAAATTTTTACTTTATCACAAGTTAAATCCAAATGTTTTATATGTGTCACACACAATATCGAATATTTAAAACATTATTTTTCACCCTACCACATCGTACCCCACTTCATCTTCTCCCCCAAAAATATTTTTTTTTATTTTTCACATAAAAACCAATAAATTAAAATAATTAATTAAACCAAAGATAAAAAATAAAAATTTCTTCTTCTTCTTCTTCCCATCCCAGCCACAACAAAATATATCTTGTCTATAAATTTTATTTATTATATATAATTTTTTGTTAAAATTACCAACGGATTTTTTCATAGAAAAATGTTTAATAGATATTTAAATTTTCCAAAAAATTTCGACGAATTTTATTCGTTGATAACTATTTAATCTTTTTTAAAATTTTACTTAAAAATTTTACCAACAAATTTTTTCCATTGGTAATTATTTCATAATTTTATATAGATCCCAACGAAACCATCATTGAAAAAGTGCGTTGATGGTTTTTGCAGCTGTATTATATGCTATTGTATCCTTATACTCTACGACAACATTAGAGCTTGAAACATACTGTAAGTATTGTAAAAAATCTACTGCAACATTTTTTGCCCGTTGCAAAAAATAGTTTTTTCTTGTAGCGAATTTTTCCTCAGAATAGAGAATTTTTGGCGACATATATTTCTTATTGCAAAAAGTAGACCCTATTGCATCGAAAACACTTTGTTGCAAAAAATAAAAGTTTGTCGCCATAAGTTTCCCACCAAAAATATTTTGGCACTTTGCTTCCATCATATTTTTGGCGACATTCTTCATTATTTGTTGCGAATTCTCACATTTCACGACAGCTTTTTATGCCGCCTTATATTTTTTGGTACTTATTTTTTTCATCACAATTTTGACAACAAACTTTAAAAATGTGTCGCGTTAAATCACTTATTGCAACAACTTTTCGTATGTCGCGAAATCACAAATGTAGTGTCATCTTCTTCTTCTTCCGGGGGATCCCCCGCCCCAACAAAGCAAACCAAAACCCAGAAAACCCCAATCTTCTCTTCTCCCGAGGTGGCCTAAGTAATAAGAAAAGGAGAAAGATTAGCGAACCCCACTCATTCAAAAATAGACGACCATAAGAGTTAGGCGAAGCTTATTAGGACCTAATCTTCTCTTCTCCGGTCATCCCCAATCGTCCAATCTTCAATCCATAGCTTTTCTTCAATCTGCAAGATGACACCCGAAGGAGAAATAGAGGACCTTGAAGAGCAGAAGCCACATGGGAAGCCAAGTTTGCCACTAGTTTGACCCGGTTCCAGATCCGATTTGGCTCCAATTTTACTCCTTTTCGTGTGAAAAAGCATAGCCTCAATTCACCAAAACTTTGATATCTTCAAGAAATTTAGTGATGAATGTGCTAAAACAGTTGGCTTTTTTTTTTTTTTTTACCTCAAAACAACATTCAAAATCGGTGCAGTGGTTCATCTGTGAGCCATTTTTGTAATTGTGTTTGTATTTTTGTTTGATTGTGATTCTACGAAAATTTCTGGCTAGTCTGGTGCTCGTGTTTTTTCGGTAGTCTTGGGTGACGGAGATGGTGGTAGACTGGTGGCAAGTCCG